GAGACGTAGGAATGGAGATGATGACACGGTAAGCGGGAGATAAAGAAAAGAAGAAAATTGAGGCGGTCGTAAAGAGAGATATATAACAGGCGAGGAGTATCAAACGCGAAACAATAAAGAAGCATAAAGACTAGAAAAATAGTGGAGAAAGAAGGTAAAATTAGAGTAGATTTAAATGTGGACAAAAGAGAAAGAAAGATAAGCAGTGAACAATGCGTGATTGGAAGCTATTATAAATTAAAAAAAAGAGAGAATGTGAAATACGAGAAAAGCATAGTCAAAAGATAAGCAGCGAAAAAAAGAATAAAGATAAAACATGTAGCATTGGAAAAATTGTAAAATATAAAAAAAAGCATAAAGAGCATAATTAAAGAGCACGATCTAAAGAGAAAAGCTGAAAGACAGCGGAAGATATTACCGAGAATTTAAGCTGAATTGAAGATGTGACTCTAGAAACAAATAAAAAGAAAGGGAATAAAGAACGACTGTCGAAAATTGAAAATCGTTGAAAGCGAGGGAAAAAAGTGGATATGCGAAGCTCTGCGAGGGATGGCTGAAGAAGATAGATAAGGACAGATCGTAAATGGCGTCTGATAAGCATATAAGTGATGCGCGGACGTTGAGATAAAAAGCAGAAAGAGAGAACAGCGAACAGAACGAGAGTGTGAACAAGATGTTTGCAGATAACGAGATAGTTGACGTTGCTGCGCGGCGCGTTGTTATCAATTTATTTTCGACATATTGACTGTCACTCGGCCGAGCCGTTCAAAAGAACGCAATTCTGTAACGGGTAAGCCCTGAAATCTCATTTGAGATATCGGTTTCACCATCTGTCGACGGCGAGTAGAGAAAGGAACACGAATATCATTTTCTTTTCATAAAGTTTAAACTTGTGAAGCGTGGATAAATGGATAAAATAAGTCTCGAGTCAAGTATGTGTTATTATTGGAATGCGTCTGGAAGAAGAAAAAGTCATTGAAAGTTAACAGTACGCGCAGACGTTTGGAAATGATTTTTTTAATATACACAGATGTATATCTATAATATTGCTTGATATATATTGTTAGCCTAGATATAATTTATTCAATAATAAGACAAATATAAAGATTATTAATCCGAGTTTGAATATTAATCTGATCTATTAATCAAATATTTCACATCGGTTAGACATTTAATTAATTTTAAACGTAAAAATATCGCATCTTAAAACTACATCAAAATTTCCGCACGTCAGGATCAATTTATGAGTAATTTTGTATTTTCATTAACATTGATTAATCGTTTAGCTCTCGCGCTTTGTTGCTCCGTTGAAAGCATATTAAATCATATTTACGTGTCATTCGTTTTTTGCAATATAATTTTTCCCAGACATTTCATTTCAATCTCATTGCGAGTACTATTAGTTTAGGCAGTTGGTATGACACAGCTTCACTGCGTAGTTTAATTCGTTTTCGTGCTCGAGCAAGGAGAAATAATTTCGTTGGCGAATTCGTCGATACGTACGCAGTCGATTCTGCGGCGAAATTAAACCGACAATTCCGCACGTACGAGAAAACTCTCGCCGTAGGTATTTCGCTATTTCGTCGTAGTAAATCGCGCAGGTACTGGCGTGCGCTCTTGCGTATTACGTAAGAAACTTTGCATTTCATATCGAGCGTCGTTACGTGACGAGGATGTTTCTCGATATTTCGATATTTCGAGATGCAGTCAATATTGTACAACTCGCTATTGTTATTGTTATTTTTCTGAATGATGTATAATATAAGAATCGCAGGGAAAATGTGCGACGCGCATACCGTAACACTAAATAAAAATTGTCATTTTTATCACCAATGTTACATTTACATACATCTACTTCCGTCTTATGCTTGTGTCGTTCTCAGGAATCATTTGATACAATCAGATGTTTTTTATTTCCCGACTTTTGCAATGTTTTTTCTTACACACCAATGCGAACTTATCGCACACGAAACTTTATTTTTGCGCTGATAGACGGTAAAGCAGATGCGAAAAAAGTGCAGATAGGCAGTATTGAAAACAAGAATAAACTTTTTATCGCATTCCGCAATATCCGCAAACAAACTGCCGTAAAACCTGAGAGAGGCTTGTAGCGTGTATTCGCGTAAGGTGCACATCTAAGAATTACGGTCCGAGTTACAACTGAAAAGGTTTATACGATCGCGTAAATAACATCTAAATATAAAACTATCTCCTTCCAATCATTTTTAATTAAACATTATTTGAACAATAAAATTGAATAAAAAAATTATTAGAAATAAAATTGATGAAAAAATCTGCGAAAATCGAATATAATGACAGCATTATCGAGTGATACTTCATTTGTGAACGAATTTGATTCCATTTTGCATAGATAAATGGTACCTTCTGGCATAATTACGCATCGATTCATTTATTATGCAGTTTAATGGTCGATAAATTACTCATAATTTTCGATCTTTCAAATCCTTGCAACACACGCATAATTTATGCGTGTTAAGCGAATGCAAAAACCTTTCTCTCTTTCTCCTCTCTCTATTAATACTTTTTAAAAATCAAATTAATTTGTGCAGACAATAAAATCCGGCTAAAAATAAAATAGGATTATGAAGCGTTAAACGGAAATTTACGACGATAACAACCCTGACGTTGTGAAAAAAAGTTACCCTTTGTGCTACACAAAAACATTGCCCGGATTTTGTTATCACTGCATGTTGCTTGCGCGCGTAACACATTGCACCGAGAGCGAATCGCTCGGTTACACGGTTATACATCTGCACTATAAAACCAGGGACGACTTTAATTCAAACAATCGAGATTAGTATTTTCTCTGCCTTACGATATTTTCATGCGTTTTATCTAAATTGAATAATATTATTGTAAATTTTCTATTAGAATGTATTTCTATGACAAATAATTTACAGATGTTGTGCACTGAGATAATACAAGTGCCAGGAATAAGCTTATAATCGATTTCGAGTAGTGACCTCCCTTAGATACTTAAGCATCTGGGACCTACAATTTAATGCCGGCTCCGAACGACTAAAGTTGAGAGGTTATTTAGACCAGCGAGCAATATGTCTGTAAGATACTGCTCGCTGGTTTGCTACTGCTTTGTGAGAGAAAGCGTAAATTCTGTTTACTTTTGCGCGGCGGCGAGAATCGAGTCTGCCGATTGTTTAACTGGCGTGTTAAACGCACTGATCAACATGCTACGATCGTTTCGAACAAAAAATAATGTTAGTTTTAAAGTGTATTCTATCGTATTTTATTCTCTGCATGATACTGCTCGCTAATCTAAACAAGCTCTTAACTTTAGCCGTTCGAAGCCGGTATTAAATTGCAAGTCCCAAAGGCTCATTCTACAGCACTTGTATTATCTCACAAGTGAATTATTTTTCACAGAAATTGCCGATTAAAAATATTTCCTTTTGTATTTTAATGTAATATTGTGTCTTTCAAGAAAAATATCTCCAAACGTTCATCCTTCACTGCGTTCCTTAGGACAGATTCTTTAGCTATTTTAAAAGATGGAAATAATGGCTATTTATTAAGGAACCCGGTGAAGACGTTCCTGAGCGAGACGGAGTGACAAGGGTGCACACCGACACTAACAGCAGCGAGCAGGGTGCTGGTGGCCAGTCATTCCGCGAGGGTGGAGGGTGGTTTCGACGTTGAAGGATGGCGCGTCGCTCTGAGAGGCGCGCCGGGAATGCTTTGCCATGTGCATGTATACATACATATAACACGCGTGCAGACAGAAATGCAACTCGTGCAGCAGGCCGCGCCCCGAACCAGACCCGCGGACCGTATGGCCCACGCGTATGAATCGTCGTTTCTGCGACGAATGGTTTTCGACGGACCGACATATGTGTACTTTGCGATTTTATCGGATATCGCTATGAAACATGACGCGACGTCAAAGCAACATTCTGCTCCGAAGCGCTACGCGTGAATTTCGTTGTAATTGACGAAGCGTACGCGTAACGGTGTCACGTTTACGATGTTTAATAAGTTTCTGCAAACGTAAATATTTCACTGCAAAAACACAACGAGCGAACAGTTTCCTGAAGGTTTTACTATAATCCGAACATTTCTACGAGATTTGTCAAAGACGCTGTTTCGAGAACTTCGCGCGTTGCGAGGAAACATGCCGTAATCGCTACGTAATTAATCGGCGTCTTAATTATTCTTCAATTACGTCGGTGCGCGGCACGTGGTCTCGTTTCTCTCGTCTTATTTGTATTCTAAAGTAAAGTAACGTCACGCAGAGCACCGGTAAACATATATACAGGGTGTCCCAGTATATATGTATGTTCTGGATGACCCAATTGTGTCGTTAATAGCAGATTTCTGAGGTTTTTTATATCGTAAGGATATAAAAATCAATATACGACATGCCTGAGTGCGTGAATTTTTAACAAGCTGATTAATCAAACCTTACACACTTTTCATTTAAAAGCTATTGTAATCTAGATATTTTGATATAAAGATTTTCGTTGTTAAATGACCTCAGAAATTTATTAACGGACGGATTAATAATTAAAAAAAAAATTCTTGTGAGTAAAATGTAGCAGAAAATGTATATACGTCGACGTATATACATCATAATATAAATAATTTGCAGTTAATGTGCAACTGGAAATGCAAAGCAGCGAAACATCCGCTGTTTCTCAAACACGAACGGCCTCAGTTGTGCCGTTAATTTTCTCCTTCGTAACGGCCAATTACGTGCAACAACGAAATGCTCTTTATTCCTTCCTTTTCTAAACTTTGCGTGCCATCATAACTCAAAGACGAAACAACGAAATGTTTTAGATTTAATTAATCTAATATCGCTATGTCATAGCACATTACTCAAACCAGTCTTTATAAAATTATTCGGCAATGTCAGAAATTCGAAAGTATTTTCTCTTGTGACAAATTATGAAGTTATAAAGGATCAAATACGTCTTACGCAGGTAAAATATTCACAAATTTAAAGTAAATTATTTATCACTCACCTGTTCGACCCACAGGTTCGTCGTCATGATTTGGTTCTTCAAGTTCTGTAAGACAGAAAAAATTGTCTTATTAGAAATAGATTGGAATTATATATATCTATTATTATTTAAATTATTTTATTTATTCTGGAATTAAAGATATTTATATTCGGCGATTTACCTCACATTAAATCTTGCTCTAAGTTTTCGATATCATATATAAATTTTCACGTCTTTTAATTTTCAAGTAAATTCTTAACGCGTTCAACTTTAAACGAATAATGTCGATTCATTATGTAAATATCTATTGATGTAATAATCGTTTAATGCGTAATTCAACGATTCGCTCAACTTTTGATAACAGTTTCCGCAGTGCTATTTGGCGCTCGGTGATGCGGCGCATCTTCTATGGAAAGTGTACGACATCCCACGTTCCCTTTTTGCGTCTGTCACCGACAGCGCATTGTAATTTCCGGACTCAGCGCCGGCCCTCGACTAATTGGACCAACTAGCTGGAAGGGAATGAGCGGGGCGGAAGGGGGGTCAGGCGCATAGATGGAACTCACAGTGGTAATCCCAGTTATGGACTGCTGGTATGCGATTTCGGACTTTCCGCTATTTCGTGAATCTCCGACATTCACAATTCGAATTATACCACACGTGGAATCTACGTACGCGCCTCTGTTTGCATATGTGACTCTAATCCTGATTGAATGCAAACGATGCGTGTCGGAGACAAGTTTGTCCCAAAATAATCCCGCGATATCGGTAATCGATCCATTGATTTTTAGATGCATAATTATTAATTATTACAATCAAACTATAGACGTTACTTTATCACTTTAATGCTATCAGTTTAATGTTATAATTGTTGTAATTTTTAATTATCAAAATTATATGAATTCTATCTATCTAATAATGTATTGTTACTGCAAAATTTATCTACGATACTCTACGATAATGCTTAAATCTTTAGTTGGCGGTTTATTTCATATGCGTTCATGTAGTGCTATTTGCTTTTAATTTAATTTTAACGGAAATTTGTTTATAATCCAATCAAATTTCGTCGTATGTCGGAACAATAAATATGTACACTCATGACATTGAGCGCTTCCGCTGCGACGTCGATGAGAAGGCGCCCGACAAGATAATCGCAGCAACATAGTCGCACTGAGTGCCGGTATTGAATGGATATTCATTGTACGGTGAATTATTCTCCACGATAGGAAGGTGAATTGCATTCGCATGCAAATGCAATAATACCGATATAGCTTCAGTCTGTGCTTTCGATGGATGTAAATGTAAGGTCCGATATAGTGCTGGATCATCAAGAAACGTTAACATTCAACATTAACATTGCTTTATGCGCGTATATGTCAAGTCCCATTTAACTTTTCAATTATGTAATTATAATTAGCATATTAACCAGTTAAGTGGTAATGTATCATATATGTACAAAAAAAAGTGCCAAACGTGGTAATGTATCATATATGTACATTTCTAAATATCTCCACTAATTTTCAATAGATTTGCATAAAACTTGATATCCTAGAGTTTTTTTTTTTTTGGCTGCTAAATTCGAATCTGTTGTCAAAATTGCAAAATTCAAAATGGCGGATCCAGTATGGCAACTGTTAATTGTTAAAACGACTAAAATATTAGAGTTAGGTAAAATATGTATAAGACCTTATTTGTAGAGCTTTTTATGAGCTTCATTTTATTGTTTGACAACTTTTTCCGTACAATAAATACTTTCTGAAATAATTAACAAAAACAGTTTTATTTTTGAACCTTTGAGGGGGGCTGGGTGGCGGAGGGGGCATTTGCGCCAAAAATCCATTTGGGAATATTATTTACTAGATAAAATAAGTATTTAGGCTGAATATAAGCCAAATCGGAGGTGACAGCTTTTCGGAAGTTCACCCCCCTTTTTTTGATCCACCTCCACTTTTGACTGGAAAATTGTAGTAAACATTTTCAAAAATCATTGTTCTTGTCTTGAAACGCCCTTTCAAATGATCCCCACTCGATCCATAGTGCCATTTAACATTTTCCACTCCTATTTTGACCCCCCCCCCCGCCCTGGGGGCGGGATCCACACCCATTTCGAAAAGTTGCTTTTTCGAAAACTTTGAACCCATGTTTCACCGTTTTTCGATATTTTAACTTTTGGCTCTTACCACTTTTGGCACAAATCTTTCAGAAAAGTCTACCACTCAACTAATTAAAAAAAAAAATTAGAAAAATTAATAATAGAACAAAGTAAAGAATATAATTGAACTACATCAACGAGAATAATACAATAAAGCGTTTCTTTTAAATAGTCAGCCTGTCATTTTGTATTGTTTAAAAAAGATAAATGCATCAATATATCTTTGTTAAATTAAAAAGCACATTAACTCTTCATATTCTTTCACATAATATAATTACTATTCAGTAACGATGCATCACTCGAAAAATAATGTTTATTTTTTTTTTACAAGAAGAAAATAACATTATTTTTTTCGTGCTTTATTTATTTTTGATTTTCGGAACAAACATCGAATCACAAATAGTTGCGAGTAAATTGAATTTTCGCGAGATTATAGGACCGCGCATTACCACGGTTATAGGGGCCACTAATTAATTCGGACACATCTGATATACACGCATGTTCGCCGATTCGCTCGAAATTAATGTCACATCGATTGTTAGCCGCGGAAAGCGGAAAACTCGCGTGTCGGTTTGTAGAAATTTCCACCCCGGTGCGAAAGCGACTGCATTCGTCGATGCAAATAATCGATCGTGATGCGAGGCAAGACCAAATGTTTTGCGTGGAACAGCAAATATCGATAACAATTATTGTAATATCTTGTTACTATCTATCGCTAGCAATAATAATGACATTAATAATAGTAATAATGATAAAACTAAAAGAATTATAGTTGTTCAATATGTAATACGAAGTAATTATTGTGTAGTTGATTTTGAATAGTATAAATGATAGCTTCATTATTCGGCGCATAACATTAACAATAATAATATAACAGCAATAATTATAGCAATTGTTTACTATCGCAGTTGCGATTAGTTCATTGCGCAAAATCAACCGCATTAAGAATAGACGAAAGACAAAAAAGCATCAACTATTCCGCATCGATTCGCGACGTGTCGTGGTTAGTGAAGAAAGTAATTAGCGAATTACTTTACACGTAATTAAACTCTGATTGCGGCAAAACAGGACGCTCGCGCAAACGCCCGACTATTAGCGCGAACGTGCAATATGTTAATTGATTCGGGCATACGCACGTTCCGCGTACGTAGATAGTCATTAATACTGTGTTACCGGTGTCCATGTGAATCGTAAATTGAAAATTCCGCGCATAGACGCAAGAGTATCTGTCGGTCGACCATTTCTAATTAATTCCCGTGCTGTACCGCACGTTGCATTGCGCTAGTTGGTTTTGCGAAAGGCTGTTTGTTTTAGTAATAATGATAATTATGAGGATGATGATGAAGATGATAATTATTACGCTGAATACATTCCATCATTTTTTTCAATGGTGGATGCTACGTGAGCGTTATTACAACATTTTGTTTTTCATTAACTAATATTGTAGTAATTTTTCATTTAGCACAATCAACGTTCATTTACAATGTATTATTTCAACATTTCTGAATGTAATTTTCTGCAAATTTTACATATATTTTGAATTTTAATGTTGATATTAATCATCTAGATTTCTCATTATTATTATTCGTTATAAAGTTTATGTTTGATGTTACTCATAAACATCGCCATATCAGTGATTACTTTAGAAAATTTTGTATTAGAAAACTCGGTTTGATCTTTTTTCGTTCTTTTGTACTCCACTCAAGTGGAAGTGAGTCCCGTCTCATATTCTTACAATCATCTTTCGCAGCTACTGTAATATTGCAAACGTGTCGCAGCTACGAGAAGCATGATCGTAGGAAAAGTGAGATAATAAGCGGTAAGCGTCGTCAGGGCAGATCTAATTTGTAACGCTCTTGGAGAAGATGTATCATCGATTTAACAAGATTTAGAGACTCGGCAGAGGATAAGATTTACGCGAGTTTCTCACGAAGCAAGAGAAGGAAGTATGAAAGTTAAAATGCAAAATGCTTTAATATATCAGTTGTTGAAATCAGTAAATAAGTATATCATTTTGCAACAACGTAAAACTTCTTTAAAAGTTTTATGTTTGAATTTTAATTAAACGTTGTTGCACGAAAAACGTATGTGCACAAGATTATATATTTTTTGTTGAGATCTTTAATAATAATAATAATTTTGGATAAAATTAATTAGATTAAGAATATCGAGAAAGCATGAGTTTAATTAATTTAATTAAATTAATTATATTTCTGCCATTATTCTTTCCGACACAAATAACATTAAATTATATAACAAACACGTTACAAAGACTGACTAAATTTGATAAATTTATATGCCCTCTGTCGAAATATTGTATTCCAGCATTTTACATGACATTTAAAGTAAATCAGTGACTCGAAGTCTTACGAAAATGTTATGAAGCTGACAGCATGACAAAGAACGAAAGCAGCATTGCTCAGGCTTTCAAGAATAATTTCTTCATTTCTGACGTCGTAAATCAAGATGACCGATTGGAGTGGGATTAGAGTAGCAAAAATAGATGTATGCTTGGGACGGCTGGCACCAGGGGATGAATAATATCGTGTTTTCCGGCGTTGAATATTTAAGATGGTTGAATATTCACGAAACGCGTGAAATGTTTTGGCATGACAACACAACTTCACGTGAAGCATAATTTTTTGCTTATAATGGAATATCTCGAACCGAATGATTTAGAGAGATATAATTTCCGAATGAATATTTGAGAAATATAGTAACCTAATTAACATTGTGCTTGAATTTATTTTGAAATTGGATAAATAAATTCTGATTAAAAATTCCTTATCAATTTAATAAAATTTCTATTTTTTTTACTAGTAGATAAATCTTGCTGTCTATTTCTATAATAATAATCACGTGCCTATATCTTTTAACACAGGCTTCGAAAACAGTCATATATTGCTTCCAAGCG